AAAAACGTGGGAGAGCACAGCTGAAAAAGCGAGTATCACCTACATCAGTGAGGAGTGGGGAAAAATGCTGTGCTACACACAGAGGACATGTCAAAGTTAAAACGAATCAAGGTCTGCTGCGAAAAACACTGGCCTGGCTTTCGGACAGTGAATAATCGAGCCGTGAAAAATTCTCACATTAGCCCACTTTGGAGCCACTCGTGACTCCAGGTAAGTCAGCAGTTGTGCTGTACGAATGCGCGGAGGGCCTGTAGGAAGAGATGCTCCCGAGCTGAACAAACCAATTACACCCCTGTCAAGGCCGTGGCGCTGCACTGCATCATCCCCACAGAGGCCCCACAGTTACACTGTGAGGCTTTACTCTGGCTCAGGAGTCCCGGCACTGCCGAGCCGTGAGGCCTGGCATGTGTGGCTCGATCATAAGCCCAACTATTAAGTGTTTATTGTCCTTTATTAGAGCCTCAGTGTGGCTAAAACAAAGTCTGCCCTGGTCAGTAGACACCAAGCAACTGAGGCATGTGACTTCTATTTGATTGCAGAGTGTGTTAAAGCTGCAGGGCAGGGCTGCTTTTACCCCATGACTCTCCCTTTAGAAGAGTGTGTGTTGGGGGGGGCGAACCTCCAAGACTGCTGCTGCTGCACATTCCTCCCAAAGCGGAAACACAGGCCATTAGCATCACATGCTAACAGAGGCTGCTCAGACACAGTAGAGCCACAACGCTTCATGTGTTTCCTTGAGTGCCTCTCAGGGACGTTTCACTCCACTGTGACATTCTTTGAAGTGGAAATACAGGATTAGCCTCCTCGTGGTTCTATGAACAAAATAAATGGTTTAAAAGGTGATAGAAAACTCTATCTGAACACACATGGCTTATGTCTGCCTGGAGGTATAATACAAAATATTTATATAACATATTAGCACTGTTGCCTCATAATAAGAATGTCCTAGGTACAAATCCTGCCCCGAGTGAAGGAGTCTCCCTGTGCCTGCGTTGGCTCTCTCCAGGTATTCCGGTTTGCTCCCACACTCCAAAGACAGGCTAATTGCTGATGCTCAATTAGCTCTAGGCGTGAATGTGAGCATGAACGGACCTGCGCAGGGTGTACTCCACATCTCACCCTGTGACAGCTGGGATAGGCTCCAGCCTAGGATGTCCTCACATCGGCGCTTATTACAGCTTGCACCTGACAAGTACTGTCACATTAGGACTAAAAGTGAAACCAGAACTCAGAGGAGACATGGAGCATGACTAACAGAAGAAGGCATCGCATCGTGGTGCAGATCGGGATCAATTTCCTTAAAATTACAAAGATGGTGCACTAACCCTGGTAGTTGTTGCTCTCTGCATGTCCTCATGCCATTACTGTCATTTGTGATCATCTCCGTTCTTCTCATGAGGAATTTGGTTATTAAGCACGTATCACTCACCACATAGCGTGTTATAACCCAGTTATATTGCGCCATATAAATTTCTAAATAAATCTGAGGGATTATTTCGTGAGAAAGGATGATTAACGCTCCAGCAATGCCATGCATTTGCTTACTTGTGGCCTATTGTGACAGAGCAGTGGGTCTCCGGAGATGATGACAGAGCCGTCCATGTGAAAGCGGGCATACTGGCCAAGCAAGCCTGGACTGGATGTGACATAGCCCTCAATAACTTCAGAGACAGGATCAGCTGAGTTGCACAATGGGCAATGCATTAGCTAACTACTGACTGTCAGCCTCAATAAACTTGAACCGTGCTCACAAAAGGCGCACACGCTCGACGGCCTCGACTGGCACACTTCGTTAATTAAAGAGGTGAGAACGAAGCCTGTCAGCTGTTTCATGACGGCGGAAGAGCTGCTAAAACACTATTTGCTGTTCACGTAGATGTTTATTTATGCTTTAATCTACCTGGGAAGTGGAGCAGGAAATCTCCTTTGAAGCACGATCAGAGTTCCCACTGTGAAACAGTGTGACCTTGTACGTCATTGTGATTCTATTATTATAAATCTGAATGTGGAAACAGTTTATTTAGACATCTTAGTGCCACTATCACACATCTCTCTTCATGAAAAGCTCAGAAAATAGCTGTTTTAAGTGGCTCGTAACAAATTTGGAGACATCAGGAGAAGTTTATATACATTATTCTGCAGTTTTTAGGCCATTAATAAAGAGATTTAATTATCTGGTGTAAGATCATATTTGTTAATAAGTTGGAAATAGAGTTTTAACCTTGTATACAATGGGTGCTAAAAAAGTCTAACACCTAAGTTTACTGATCAGAGGTGTAAATACTTTTAAGTATTGAATGATAAACAGATCAATGGCCAACAGATGACCTGTGAACATTAGTAAATATTGATAAAACGACCACCCACATTTTAGCTCCTTTACTCAGGATTTGTTGTTAAAGAGGAGATGCACTTCCAGTAAGGCTCACTTGATGTAGGTCATGTAAACTGTACAGGGAGGAATCATATTATGTGACATCTCTACCACGCAGGGGCACAATGTTACTCAATTTAAAACTTTAACAAGTTGAGAAACTTTAGTTAAATTCAGTCAGTCTGTGGGAGTTAAAAAAAAAAAAAAAAGAGCGTAAACTGGAGGACGAACATGGAGGCGGACGGGATGAGGCAGACAAAGCGTCGGGCCAAACTCATTGATCAGCAGCAACACTGTTCCTCCCGCGCTCCCTTTGTTCAGCACTCTTTCTGCTTTTCAACCAGATGCAATCTGCTGCTGTTTAGTAATCCAGAGGAGGCTTCCCGATGACTCAAAACACTGCAAACCAGCAGCTCACGACAAACTAGCTAATATATTCATAGCGTCAATCCACCTCTGTGCTGTCACTGTGTTCTGACACAGGAAGCCTGACTGAATGATCACCAAATAAGACATCAGTCTTTCCTGAAAGCAACTGGAACTTACAGAGAAGTTATCCCAGTTTCCCTCGGGGTGTCTTCGTGTTTCATCAAGTAAAACCGAAGACTGGTCTCAGCTAAATAGCTGATTTTATAACTGATGTTAAACTGCAGATCAGCTTGACAGGAAAAATGACAAACCAAGAAACCGCAGCATTTTTATGACTCATAAAACTACATTTGAACAATTATAATGTGACTTTTAACTATAGCAAAGCATCAGACACTGGAGACAGTCGTCTTTAGGGTCTCAAACAAAAGCAACTTTGTGTTTTGTCTTTCTCGATTTATCTTTCCATTTAATCACTGCAGCTCAGATTTGAAACATCACAGCAGCTGTCACCCATATCCCATCCAGACTCCATAACATAAAAACAATAGAATAGTCTGAACAAAGAGACCAGATCTACTTTTATTCAAATCTGATGTGTGAATTTAGTTTTCAGCCTACACATGAAACAACTAATGATCATATTTCCAATAATTCAAATATTTAGCACAAAACACTACAAATGTTCTTCAGTCCCATTTCATTCACTTGAATCTATTACGCCAGCAAATTCTCAAATTGAGGAGGAATCAAGTTCTGACGGCACTTTTGCTCAAAAAAAGAAAAGAACAATGTGGTAATCAGACAGCTTTTCCAAAACAGTGTGAGTCACATTTAGACCGCACTGTACAGATTTAAAAAAAAAAAAAAAAAAAAAAAAAAAAAAGGGAAATAAAAGCCAAACTTATGAATGACAACTCCCACAATCAAGTCTTTAGACCTTCTAGTGTGGAGGGCAACGCAACTGTAATACACAGATCAGATCTTTTATTTAATCGGCTACTCTCTGTTCAAAAAAGCAAACAAAGTTCTCAGTGTCTCATAGTCCACAACCAACAGGGAAACAACACAAATCGAGTTAAGGTAAAATGAGATAACACAAAGAAAAGCAGGAAATTTTAAACCATTTAAAAACAGATATTTTGGTCAAAAATTAGATTTTTCCCTATCATCATCATCAACTACAAATTTTACTTATCAGTGCACCAAAATATTTCAAGGTTAATTTTAACCTTTAAAATAATTTTTTCAGTTTATAAAAAAAATAATTAAGTATTAACTAAATTTGTTAACTGTTTGTTTCCTGTTTTAAATCTTTGTGATGTGGCTTTTAGGGCCAATAGTGCTTTTCTGCACACATTTTAATGCAACTAAACATCACATAAACACAAATCAGAAGTCGACAATCTGAACTCATCTACTACTTTACATGGTGACACTGCAGCCAATCAGGCTGGAGAAGAAGCTCCTGATGCAGGTGTGTGTGATCTGCAGGTAAGCTGTTGGGGGATTCTGTGTATTGCTTGAGAGTCCTGTAGGTGTAGTGGGATAATTAGCAACAGGGCCATCTTTGAAAGGAACAAAACAAAGACTCTGTTTGTAGGGATCTTAACACTGAGTCCAGTGTTGAACAGATTAAAAGGTGAGGAGGTCTGCCATCCTGCTGACCTCTGAGCGAAAGGTCCCTCAGTGGCCCCCAGATGCCCCCGACCAATGAACCACTGTCTAATCCTGGACTCCAGAACATACTCAAAAAACACACATACACAACCCACGCAGACTCATCCACCCCAGCCCAGAAACACAGACAGGATGGGGAGGCAGGGGCCCTCTGCAGGCCACAATCACCACAGCATGAAAAATTAATGTAAAAGGGGGGGAAACCCCCAAACTTTAACATAAAGATTACACTCGGAGAAAAAAAAATCTGCACATTTATGAGTCTAAGCGATAATTAACAATGATGAAATATTATTCCAGGCTAAAGCTGCACATGCAGAGAGAGAAAAAACACACCTGACATCAAGAGAAGGAGGGTTAAAGCCAGGCATTGTTTACCAGGCCTCATATTGTGTTATTGCTCTGGGCAGCAGCTACACAATAGACCAACATTAATGCAGACCCAGGCAAGACGGAAGAAAGGTGAGCAGGGCACACCTTTGCTTTTATTTACTGCTGCTCGACCGAAACTACGCCAGTAATTTCCGGTGTCGCCTGCAAAGAGGTGGATCCCTGTGCACACAAACACACAGCATACCTCAGAAATTCTTGCAGGCAGGTGTCACAGAAGCGGTGTCCACAGGTGGACACTTGGACGGGCTCCCGCATCGCTTTGCTGCAGAGCGGACACTGGAAGCGTCTCTTTGGCTTCTCCAGGAACTTGTAATCAAACCCGGGCATGGCTGCAGGTTCTGTCGCTTTTGTCGGGCCTTCGACTGCAGGTTAAAGGTACAAATGTCCTCTCGATCCCCCCGCAAACGGGGCTGTCTAGCTGCGCTGCCGTGAAGCCGATGAGGGGTTCATATCACGTCCCTTCCGCCGCCGACGGATCGGGCTCTGCAAATTCGTCCTCCCGCAGTGCTCAGCTGTCTGACGGCAACAAAGGCTGGACGGTCCGAGACAGGCTGGAGAAACGGTTCTCCCTCCGCAGTGTTTATGTTGGCCGGCAGAGCTGCTACAGCTGTGCGGATGACTCCTCTGGTGATGCAGAATTGACACACTGAGAGCAAAGCAAGAGCCCTCCGTCTGTTTAGGTGCACCGAGTCCCGCCTCCTCCTCCTCCTCCTCCTCCAGGCAGGAGGAGTCAAGGAGCTGAAACGCTCTGTTCACACCATTTTATCTCTGTGATCCCCTCTTTATGAGGCTTTAATCGAGCCTTTGTCCGGCTACAGTGGGCTCTCATCGTTCTTTCATTTCACATTTGATAATTATCAATGTTTATTTATCAGCTTAGACGCCATCAGGGGTCCACATAAAGTGTCGGAGAGTGATAATAAATAAATAATTAAATAAATAAATAAAAAACTAAACATACATAGTGCCAGCTGGTGAAGTCACACGTGAGAGAGGTTTCGCAGTAAAGATGTAAATTAAATAAAGAAAAACTGAATCCAACTCAGACACCTACAGCACAGTCAGAGGGGAGAGGCGCCCCCTGGCGATGGAGCAGCACACCAGTCTGGTATTATTTCGTTTCAAGCTTAAACGTTTCATATAAATGCTTCATTAAAAATAACCCCTGACGTCTGCTGTTATACTCATTAAAAAAAAAAAACATCCGGATGTCATTTCGTTCACGGGGTCAATAAAGCGCACAGCTTCACATCTGGATCGGTTTTCACCTGCTGTATTGCCACTGGATTACATCACCATTACATCATCACACAGGACAACAAAGGCAGCTGAGCCATGTCCCCAGAAAAGGTGAAATAACTCGGTGTGTTTATAGTATTAAACTACATATTAATGACAGCGTAAAGAGGAGGGTAGAGGAGGTTAATGTTTCATTTTTTGAAAGTCTGTCTTTTTAAATGTTCTCTATTGGAATAAAAGCCACAATACAAGAAAATGTCACTGTGAGTCAAATTTAATGTGAATGTAAATATAAAAAATACATGCATATTTAAAAAAGCAGCAGTGGAAATGAGCATTTTGAGGTGCTTGTACTTGAAACTGTTTTCTGTGATTATTTTGGTTTGTTTATATGGATATATATATAAATATGCATTAAAATCTTTATCAGAGGTGAGTCTTGGCCCACACTTAGAAGTGACTACCTGCTTGAAGTGGAACTAACAGTTAGTCACAATAGATCAAGGAATTTTTGGAACGATATTTCAGCGCTGTGAGACATCTTGTGTCATCAGAAATACCTATCGAAGTGAAATCAGACATCACCTTGATGTTTACGAGAAAATATCACAAACTAATCCAGATGCAGATTAGTAAGTAAAATTGATTTATATAGCGCTTTCTAAGAAAAGGAGTCACAAAGTGCTTACAGAGTTAACAGGAGAAAAACAAACAAAAAGAAGAGCAAAATGCACACAACAGAAAAACAACCAAATCTCTGTCTGAGAAGTTTAAAGCTTTCTAAAGAATGCCACAGATTCAAGCGTGTGAAGAAAGAGTGGTAAGCTGTTCCACAGTTTTGGTTTTAAGAGACAGTACCCATTTAGATTTTACACGGGTACAGAGAACCACAAGAAGACCTCTATCAGCCAGCCTAAGGATTTGAGTAGACAGGCGATGTAAGTGAGGGCCTCACCTCATAAAGCCATGAAAGTAAGAACCAAGATTTCAAGATGATACCTAAACGTGACTGGATGCCAGTGCAGATGCTGTAATGATGGGGTGATATGAGAGAATTTGAGAGCGAGTTACAATCCTTGAAGCAGCATTTTGGACAGATTGGAGGCGATTAATAAACGCTTTGGCGGACAAGAAAATAGAGCAGTACAATAATCCAAGCAGGAGGTGATGAAGACCCGAACGAGCATCTCTTGTTCACTTTTTGAGCAATTTTTTTTACAGTGAACAAGCAAGAGCCTTGATGTGAATATCAGAAGTCAAACATCAAAAATGATCTCAAGATTGTGTTGTTAGCTTTTAGGGTGAATGAGAAAGAAAACGGATATAGAGGTATATGCTTTCTGGAGCGGGAAATAGAGACATTTGCTTTGTCTGAGTTAAATTCAAATATTTTTCATCCAATCATTAATTGAATTGAGACAGTCAATCTACCCCTCGTCTCTGGAGAGACAGAACTTCCAGCCTAAGCTGAGCTGTGCAGTCTCAGACTGCTCTCAGCCTAAATACAGAATATAATCATGTAACTGCAGATGATCTCTGGATTTACTATTGGAAATGAAGCCATGCAGCAGCATATAAAGTACTTCAAACTGACCCCACTTTGCATTATTAGGACTTCAGGTTCTGTGTGCAACTTTCTTCAAATCGTTCATTATTACAGGTTCAAGTTTACATTGACTGGCCCAAAAAAGGTCCTCAGCTGTGACATTTATTTTCCAATATCTCATATTGATGAGGGGAGATCCTCACCGCTGTGCAACATGTTCTTCAGCACATCCCAAAGATTCTCAGTGGGGTTAGGATCTTACTGAACCTTCAACCCAACGGAAGACCCTTATTTCTTTAGTTAAATTGAGGCGGTGTAGTTTGTCTTCATTTACTACAATGGGGGTTTTTCAACATTGTGGTATTTTCATTTGTTGTTAACCCTTTTCAGCATGGTTGTGTCTGCATCAGAGTGAGGCATTGAATGAAATAGTTACTGTACTCTGAACACTTTGGCAGGTTTTGATTTTGGTCATCACATGAACAGTTTTCACACTGTTCTGTACAGCAACATGATTTCAATGAGTTACAAGGACAATAATGATAAAACTGTGAACTTCATCTGCTGTTCAGAGTCCTACACTGGAATGAAAACAGCCCAGCATGTGCACCATTTCCTGCTGCAGTCAGTAAACAGTCTGAAATCTTCTTTCACTCCTCTCATTGAACTGCTGTTTATCTTACAAAAGTGAATGAGCGAACAAGCGAGTGGTTTCAGACACAGCTCGGTCCGTCGTTATGTGGTTCGAACACCGCTGTAATCCAATAAATCGCAAAGTGACCACTGACGTGGTGCTGACTTCATTTGTCTGATGAACGCTCAAGTGGCTTCATTCTTTTCGTTTCATTGACCGGCTGCTTGAGAGAGCTCAAACCAGTTTGACCTTTTAATGGTCTTTCTTGTGCTGACACTGCACATGAGAGCGCACAATAGCTCACTGCATGAGCCCAGCCTAATGACTTCCTGTAATCTAGCTTCAGTATCTGTGTTGCAACATTCCTTTCACCGAACTGATGTGAGATAAAACCTGCAGCAAGGCTGTGACCTTTTTTTGTGCTTTGCATCATGAAATCAAACCATTGAATGAAACACCTGAAAGAAAAATAGATAGAGAGAGAAAGGCTGAGGCTGCAGCTGGGGTTTGAAAGGAAATCTTTCTAAATTCAGCACAGATGGGTCTCTAGGAGGAAGCGGTCCTCCTCCACAGTCTGCTGTCGGGTCTCACGATGGCCGCAGAGTGGGTTATTTTTCAAGACGAGATCATCTGGAGATGGCCTCCTCGAGCAGAGCTGAAGCAGAAACAGAATGGCAATGTCAGTAGAGCTGAATCAGGTGCAAGTGTTTGACCTAATTGGGAACTGGTTCTATCTTCTCTCCTTTAAATACAACAGTAAGATAAACAGCTTTTGGTTTTTGTACTGAATTAATCTGAAGATGCCACCTTGGCTTGAAATCTTCGCTACATTTTGACATTGGTTAGACAAAATATTCATTCATCCCACAAAGAAAACAATTAGCAGGTTAATCGATGAATGAATTGAACCAGCAGCAAACAACTCGTCTGTTGTTGCACAAAAAGTATTAACCCAATAAATCAGTGGGCCAATAATGAGGCTGACAGTTAAATGAATATCAGTAAGAGCTTGTCATGTTTTACAGGAGGTCTGGTAGTCCTGACTAGTCTAATGGAAATTTTAACACTGCAACAGAGTGATTCCTGCTGTCCAGATGTTCCGCTCTCTTCTTTCTCCATCTGCTTTTTCACTCATGACTAATATAGGCAAAAATACGACATAATACAAAAGAACTTCAGGTCTTATTTGTTTTTAAATTTAGGATCAATATTACAAATTTTGGAGAAATGGTCTGCAGTGCTGCATTTTCTTTGGTATTGTTTAATCACAATTACTACTACTGGGCTACTGGACCAGAAAAACATGTTTGCTTTTCACAGTGACTCCACAGCTACATCTGCACACAATTATCTACATTTTCTCTGTTCATTGTTTAAAGTAATTAATAATTAATTAATTCTGTCTTCAAGTAATTGTTGTGAAGACTTTTGCCTTCCACTCACAATTTAAAGCTCACATTAAGAATTTAAGTTCCTTTCAGAGGTTTGTGAACTAATTTTGTGTTAAATTAAATTAATTCTTTCCTCCTTAAGGAAAACTTTAAAACCTGGTGATTTTGTACTTGTGTGTTTTAGCTTTTGACCTTCACATATGTGTTTCCTAATGTTCACCAGATCCTGATCACTGAAACATTGTTCAAGCATGTGTCATATCATCCACACACATCAGGTCACGTAGAGAAAACATTGACCTACATGACGAACCATTCTTGTTGTCCAAAAAAACTATACAAACAATTTTATCTCTCGACTCTTAGAAAGAAAAAAAAAAGCTTTGCATGATTCAGAGCTCAAAACAATCCTTCTTTATCTTTATACTGGACCTTTAGGACCACCCTCCGTTTCTTTCCATTTCTGTTGTTTAATGTTGAAGTGTTTGAGTTAGAAGGGTGAAACTCACTCACTTGGGCACTTGTGCAATGGTCTGTACTGTAATCTAAACCTCTCACAGTGGTTGGTCTCTATATATCTGCTGCTCAGCTCAGGCCTGAGAACCATTTAAACAGCAGCCCTGCAGCCTGTTGCTGGATTACCAGCATCTCTGTCACTTATTGAATTCTGATGCAGTTTAATCTTCTCTAATTCTGCAGCTGTTTTCAAATATAAAGTGGAATCCAAGCCCTCAGTTTTGTACCATCACTGTTTATACTGCCATTTTCTGTTCCACTCCATAGACCTCTGTGACCTACAATTACTTTTAGTGTGCAGATAAAAATTATATTTGTAGCATAAAAACTAGTTTCTTGTGTAAACAAACCCCCTGGCACCCCGTCTGTAA